CCCGCCTCGGCGCCCCCGGTGTGGTAATGCCGGGCCCGGTGCCGAGCGGCCCCCGCCGAGTGCGCGGCAGCGCCGGGCGTGGGAAGGGTGCGCGGAGCGGGGCGCCTCGGGAGCCGTCCGTGAAACAAAGCTGCGCGCCGGCCTCCCGGGGCCGGGGCCGTTTGGCCAGCGAGTGAAAACTGTCTGAAGGAAAAAAAACAAACCCGCGTCGTCGCACGTACCTTCGCAGTTAAAGGCCGTACTCTGGAGGGCCGATGAAGTACGATGTTTTCATAACTGATTACAAAATCTATTGAAGAGGGTTTCAAACCATGCATGGCTCTTTACCACCCTTCAATCAACCACCCTCTGATTTGGGTAAAATTAAGAGCGAATTCAGCAGCGGGGAACGGTAGTAAGTTGTGGTATTTCCATTCAGCAGTTGCCTGTCACTTTGTGTCGACAGTTGTTTGATGGTTCCTCCCGGTGTGAATTGATCGCGGTTCTAATTGACATTTTTTGTTCTCTGTGGACAGGTAATTATTTTCGAGTTCTTGAGTTCTTTTATCGAGTTAGCGTCCCAGGATTGTTCAGGCCTGCTATCTGTAGGAACGGAGGAGCTCCTTTTGTAGGTGCGGAAGACTGCTGGACTGGAAAAGTTGCCAGATTTTCAGTAGAACCTAGTCCTGGGATTAAAAGAAGTTAACACGAGAGCAATTTATATTCAGATGCTCTATCCGATAGCCAGAAATACCCCGCGTTGTGGCATTTGAAGCAGTCTGGATAAAATGCCTGATGTCGATGTGTTTGTCCTTTGTTCATGTACTTTTTTTTTTTCCTTTTGTAACTTCTTCTTGGGTTATTCACCACGTTTCGATTGTTATGTGAGTGTGTGTGTATTTTATACCTGTTTATATAGAGACACACCACCTGGTAGGCTCTGAGCTCTAGTCTTAAATTTTCTGGAGGATCTTGCACAGTGGCAAGAGTCCGCTGCCAGTCCTGAGTACGTCGTGTTGGATGCTCTCTTCCAGGGACGATGAATAGATGTGGCTGGGTCTGAATCATTTTTTAAAGAAAAAAAATTTTTTTAATTGTGAAGTCATTTAGGGATGGAAGGGACCTCTGGATGTTATCTGGTCTGGCCCCTGTTCAAATTAGGGAAGAAAGCTGTTGGTAATGGCAGGCTTGAAACGTTAGGAATTCACAGATCAGGTGTTTACTGAAACTGGATGTAGCTGGTGCGTAGAGTTTCTTCAGGTCAGTGTATCCTGATGTTTTTGACACTGCTGTGCAAGATCCTCACGCTGAGAATTGTGTGCTTTGTTACGAGAATTAAAAATACTGAATACGTTGGAGTGTGTAAATGACGTATGGGCTTTTTCTGGATACCAACATTCAGGAATTGAGGATCTCGTAAGTGGTGTAACCAAAGCAATTAACTTTATAGTAGTTGGTTTAATTATTGAACTACTCCAAGTCAGGGGTAACAAAGTTTTGATCACGTTTGGGATTGAATGCAGTGCTTGTTCAGATGTGCAGTAAGCAACATCTGCTGACTTCTTTCAAAATGGACATGTGTTTGCCATAGATGAGCATTACTGTTCTGCGAGATGTCACGGAGTGTTGCACTGCAAAGAGAAAAGGATTTTAATTCCCGGAGTCTTGAAAGGCAAGCAGTGGATGGATAAATTGATTTTTTTAAAAATTATTATTATGTTTTTCTTGGTTTTAAAATTAGGAATGATAATATTTTATTTGTTTTCCAAGAAGCAATATAGAGATTCTGTGGCTATGTAATATAAAAAAAAAATGTAGGGAAGGACTTGCTAAATTTTCACTAAATTATATTTTTATGATGAGAAATCGGTGCAGGCTATATTTTTAAAAGAAAAAAGCATTTTGTAAATAGTAATATTAAATAACTCTGAATTAATGGAATCTCTTAAATTGTCAGTGTAACTAAGAACTGTACAACTTTCCAAGGCATAGTGGGGCACAGATGTGTAGACAGGAGGATTTGAGTACATCCCCTTCAGAGAAGGGATCAAAGCAGCAGATATTAGTGCTTGGTATAGCCAGGCTTTCCAAGAGAAACAACCCTGCCTTCTCCAAAGTCCTCAAAAGCAAACAGACCAAAAGGGGAAAAAAAAACCCAAACAAAAAACAACCAACCAAAACCCATCCTTTTATTTTTTGTTCATCATTGTGGCTGGTAACTTTTATGATGCGGACAGCATCTCTTTCCAAGAGCAGGTAAAGTTCTGACACGTGGAGCTGCAGTAACTTATTTGGTAAAATGCTGAAAAGCGCAGATGGATGAACGAGCCCAGACAGTCTGTGGCCAGGAATATGTCCCAAATGTGGATGCTTCTACCTTGCTTATGTCAAGCATTGGTTGAAGATCTGTCCCTTCTCTCTGGATATCGGGGATGTCTCTGGTGTTTCCTGGTTCCTCAGTAAGAAGAGGACATGTATTGGGTGCCTGGGGTTTTCTTGCCTTACTGTTCTGTATAAATAAATGACAGAAGGAACTCAGTAATTTGCAGATCTATCAGACTTGTGTGTGGGTGCAGATGGGGTACTTGGAGCCTTCTTCCCTTGCTAATATTCCCAAAATGCAAGACTAGGGGGTGGGCGCAGAGTGCATGCACTTGGTGGCCCGACAGCAAAATTTTCCTTTAGCTGCTGCTGATTTAGTGGTTCCAGTTTTTCCTTTCTTGAACAAGATCTGCAGAACCCTCTGCAGTTGCCCCACCGCACTAGTGCGGATGGTCCCCAGTGGAAATGATGTCTTCCTTCCGTGCCTTCCACGATGGTTAGTGCTTTAAAGGGAAAGCAGGGAGTTTCTTCCTGCCTTCTTTTCTATAATTCCTTCAAAGCTGTTCTGAAGTCTGTTGAGAGTTTGATATTGTCAGACAGAAAATAGTTTTACTTTATTGTGAAAAATGTTTAAAACTGAAAGCAAATGTAAAATTTAACCCATTGGATTGTGCCCTTTAAAAATAATATGGAGACTGGAATAGGCGATTGAAATTGGGCAAAATGTTGAAATAGTCACCTCGTTTGTCTTCAGTGTACAGAGGACAGCACTTCAGCATTCAGAAGGCTTTTACTGAAGAGATACACGTCATAGATGTTTTGTGAGGGATTCAGTCTAGAAACATCTGCGCGGTGCTTTGTACACTGGGTGTGTAATCCTCAAGAGGTTTAGTTTGGTACTAATAGCTGGCCCACCGCTGGCCTGGCAGCCAACTAGGGGACCAGCTGCTAACTTGCCAGGATGGCCTTCCTTGTGACTCAGCTCCCCAGCACCTCACTGAATGCCTTTACAGAGCGTATTAGGTGTATTTTATGCCCACTGTCCCCCAAAAGCAAAACAAGGTACTTTACTAGTCTTCAATATATCTTTTCAGATCCATTGTAGTAGGCTTATGACACAGAAGCATTTTAGGTCACTGAATATCTGATATATTGAGAAGATGGAGAACTTCATTCATGTTGTGGTAGTGATAAGATGCATGAGTTTCTGGTTATGACCCCGTTGTTTCAGCTGTATACAATTGGTATGAAAAATAAGGTCATTCTGTTTCAGATGCATAATCTAGGTAAGTTTTATTTCTTACCTTTTTTGTTAATGGATGCTTTGTAGTTGCCTTCCCATTTCATTTGAATTCCTGCTCTTTCAGTTAGGTTCGTCTAGCTAATAAAATTAAAAATAAATATTTAAAGTAGGAAAATAAACTCTAGTTCGTGATTGTGATAATACTCGTAGATTGTAGATGCATGACGAAAGCACAAGCAACAGCAGCGCCTTATTTAAGGTCCACTGTGTTACCACCTCAGCATTTCTGCAGTGACATCTGTTGTTACGCTGAAAGCGATTGGTTTGATGAAGCTCTTCCTGCGAGTCATCAGCCCTGTGCCCAAGTCACTGGTGCTTGTGAACCTTATTTAAATGTTTTAAAAGGTTCTGATAAGACAAAATCTGTGGAGTAGTAGTTTGTAGGGTACATACCTGCAGCACGTGGCTGAATACTCTGATGCTTATTTTCTCCTCAAAATAGAATTTCCCAAAATACAGAGGAAAATATAATAAGCTTAAATATAATTTCAGTACGTGACAACTTGGCTGTGCGTTAAAAGGGGAAAAAAAACCCAGTATTACTCAGCTCTGCAGTACTGTAGCTTAATTTGCATCATATGTTATAACAGCAGCAATGTTTTTTACGAAAACTTGAATTCACTTAAATTTTCTCAGCATCTCTTCAGATAATTGCTTTACATGATGGCTTCAGTCAACTTTATTAGGATAAAATGTGGAAGCGGATAGCAGTTCTTTGTGTCTGTATTCCCTCTGTTCACCATCTTAAAGTGAAAACTGTCAGTCGTGTCATGTTTTGGCCGATAAAAATACAAGCAGATGTAGCAGGAGTCGGAGAAATATCAAAGAAAGTCTCAGAAGATGCGTACCAGGATACAGACCTGGTTCATGGAAGCTATTTCCTTTTCACTGCTGCAGCTGTAGAAATGGTCTAAATTCTCTTTTCTCTTGTCCTTATAGTGTTAATTATTAGCAACTTTTTCTTCATTTGAAAAAAAAAACGTGAAAGCGCTCATAGGCCCTCACGCTTCCTCCGTAAGAGCCCGATCCCCAACTTGACTGGAGATGGGTGAGCAGAGCCCACATGACGGCTGGAGGATTGAAGTCAGAGATTTTACTTCTGCAGAGAATTAATATCCTGCTCATGAAAGATTGGCTGCACAAGTGAGTACATTATGTGCTCAGAGTCAGAGTTTCAGGGATAGAGAAGTGATGAATAAGCTCAGGTATAAGCTCCTAAACGGATTATTGTTTTTCCTGCTCTGTGTTCAGTTGCAGTGCGTAGTGTGGGGGGGATGCAGAGGCACAGGCACTCTGCCCTGGTGTTGTGCAGGGGTACGGAGGGTTTGGAAAGGAAGCCT